CCCCCCCCTTCTTTCCGCTCCTTTCCTTTCTCCTTGGGTTTCGTGTTGACCATCGGGGGGGGGGGAGAGCGAGAGGGTTGCTGGAATGGTTTGTTCAGTGTATTGGAAGGGGGTGGGGGGGAGAAAGGAGTGGGATGGTGGCGCATGGGGATAGGATAGAGATTGGTATTGCCTTACTACATTTGCTTCCACGTGGCAACAGGGCGGGCGGTACCAGGATTTGTTCACGCGCCTGTTTTGTTCACGAGCCTGTTTTGCTTTATTCCACGTTGCTATTCAGATTCTGCTATATTGGTGTTCAGCCTGTTTTGCTTTATTCCACGTTGCTATTCAGATTCTGCTATATTGGTGTTCTCCCTGCTTGAGTTGTTTCTGTTTCATTGCGTTAGCAGGGGGCACATAATCTTTTTTTACAAACGAAAGTATATGCCACGTGGCAGGGCAGGTGGTGCTGTGGTGGCACTAGGGCTGACTATATGACTGACTTGTGCTCTGCCATATGGGTACTGCGACTTGAGTTTTTTATAAACAGTGTCACCCCGGCGTGTGTGCTTTTGCTAATTAGGATTCTGGGGGACACATAGGCGCAGGCAACCCTAGATCGAGATTGCAATAGCTCAGCCAGATTCTGTCTAGATCTAATGGCCTGCGCCTTTACAACCACGTTTCCAACGGCTGTGCTCCCCTTAGGTTAGTGTCTGTGCTAACTGCTGCTGTTTCAGGGGCAGCTCGTCGTAACTACAAAGGAATTACTAAACACCTTCGCCCTGTTATCAATCTCTTTGCCTATTCGATATCTCCCCTACTCCTCACCGTGTAGAAGATTGTAGTAGGGATACTTGAGGAGTTTCGTAGGATAGAGATGGATTCTGCACACAAACGGGGTTAATCCTTCCTGATTGGGGAAGCAATCAATGCCCCCTGACTATGCTTACATTCGTGTTATGCAGGGAACCTGCCTCCAGGGGAGCAGTGGCTGAGGCTCTTCCAGCTCTAATGGGAAGAGGCGTGTGTGTTAGTGTTGTAACCATTGCTTTAACTGAAGCCTTGGGCACTGGGCCCTGTTTGAAAAAAAAAAATGAAAAAAAAAATTTGAGCCTCGTGCCAGTTGGTCATTGCCTCCCTTTTCTTGGTCGTCTCTTGTTCCTGGAGGTTCAGCGCATGAGACTTCATGGCACTCGCGCTCACACACACACACACACACACACACACACTTGGAGGACCAGTTTCGAGGCCTGCCATTGGCCCAGCATTTGGGGGGGAAACTGTTGTCCCGATTCAAAAAAAGGAAACAAAGAAAAAAGGGAGGGATTTTGTGCATTTTGACTTCAGATTGGTGAAGAGGACCGATTTCGAGGCCTGCCATTGACCCAGCATTTTGGGGGGAACTTTTGTCCCGATTTCAGAAACAAAAGAAGGAAACAAAGAGAAAGCGGAGGGATTTTCTGCATTTTGGGTCTAGCTGCACTACTCTCCACTCTCCGGGAAATCGGAGAGTACGTGGAGAGTTGTCAGACTCTCCTATTTCCCGAATTTTGGGTCATGGCTGCACTAACTCTACAAACGCAGACTCTACACTATGGAGGGTACAAAACGACAGCTCAAAGTCCCCGTTTGTCTGCCCAGACTCAAGGTTCACTCTCCAGTTTTGGAGCAAATCGGTGGTTCCTTGGAAGGTCTATCCACGTAACGGATTTTGCAGGCTGGGCACTCTCCGGCGTCGGAGAGTACAATTCTTTTGTGGTTTCTGACGGCTCTCCGAATTTCTTTTGGGGTTCTAAAGTAGAGTTAGTGCAGCTATGCATAACTCTCCGAATTTTTGCGAAGTAGAGTAGTGCATCGAGACCCTTTGACTTCAGATTGCTGTACTTGCTCTTGTTAGACGACCAATTTCGAGGCCTGCCATTGGGCCAGTATTTTGGGGGGAACTTTTGTCCCTTGCAAAAGGACACGGAAGACCTCCCCCGTAATTCAAAATTAAATGGCACCCTACTATTGGCCCAGCGATAAGGAGGGAAAATTTGGAAGCTTCACTAAGGACACAAGTTCTGAGCTACTAGGGGTTTGGACTCACCGTGTGTCCAGCGATTCGGTTTTGTCATCATATGAGTAGAAGGCCCATCCAGGTATGCAAAAAGTTGGCGGTTCTTGGCGATTCTTGGCGGCCTTGTCACCCTTGTGCGAGTACCAGAACGCAGTTCTTGTGCGAGTACCAGAACGCAGCGACGAGAGTCGGAAACGACGCGGTGCTGCTGCAGAGAACATGATCACGAAAACAGCCAAAAAAAATGGCCTACTATGCTTTCGCCTTTTACTAAAGAATACCGTGGGCTGAGCACACTAAGCAGCGTACAGCAATTTGTAACGGCCCTTCCCTCCGTCGAAGGGCTAATCACAAAAAAAAAAAAAAACGGCCCTTCGCTCCGTTGAAGGGCTAAATAATAAATAAATAATTTAATAAATAGATAAAAAAAGAAATTGGCGGGGCGCTTTTTTTTTTTCTTTTTTTTTTGGGCCCATGCTAATCTTGTCTGTATCGTTCGTTCCAATTTTGACGGATGTCCGGAAGGACAGGGGCGGTATTTTCGCTCCAATACACTCGAGATGAACAGAACGAGAGCGAATCTTCCGCTAGAACATGGAAAGATATACCGCAAGGATTTTTGCCTTTTGTGCATGTCGTCGATGTCGAGAGCAGTGGAGCGAGGCCGATAGAAGCCCCAGTGGTTTCACAGCAAAAACTATTTGCAGGCCCCCGGGAATGAATTGTTTCTGCCCACCTTGCGCAGAGGCGGCGAATTAATTGTAATTAATTGTTTCAACTACCGTAGCCTTCCGTCCGATCCTAATGAGGTAGGTCCTCGTAAGCACCCCCGTTTAGACATCTGGCGAGGTTCAAGCTTGGATTGGATGTTTGAACACCTTGTTTAGACACCTTCGCTTACGGCCGCCCCCACAAAACTTGGGCCTCGCCCGGCACCCGCCACACCTCTGCTCAGAGTGCACGGCGTGCCACATCCTTTGCCAAGCTTGGTTGTCGTACACACCTCTGTTTGCAAGAGCTAAAGAGGGTCAGCAACCAGTTCAGGCTGATGTCCGAGGGTGTCGGGGGTCTGCCGTCGTCCCCCGAACACAACGCGACCCTAATTTCGGCTGCAGAGCACCGGAAAGATAGCTTGTACTAGCCTTGTAGTGTATGCATCCATTATCAGGGTGCCTTCTGTTGGAGGAAGACGGAGGAGTCCAGTCGAAACGAAATAGCGAGCAAGTTTACAGTAACTACCTATAAATACATCCGAGTACCTCAATACTTCAACTGGAAGGGGACCCAATACTCGTTCCAGAAGGCTGGCATCTGTTGCTAGACTGATGATCGACGAGACTGATTGATTGATCGATTGCACCTGAGATCTCCGTCCATTTAGTCCGGAAGACGCGAGGACCCTCCGCTGTCAAAGGCAACTCGGAAGACTGCGAAGACGAGGGAGCTCTGAAGGTGGTCGTGACGTCGGTGCGGAGAGCACCACTACAGCAATCCGCCTGTCCGACGGCGGCAATGGCGATGCTGCTGCTGCTACTGCCGCTGCTGCTCCAGCTGGCCGCCCGAGGAGCCGCTAGCACTTGTCCGCCGCCCGGATCGGTGAAGATTCAATCGTTCAGCTACGCAGGAAGCGGCTGTCCTCCCGGGACTGCTGTCGGCGACATCTCCAAGGACGGGAAGGCGCTGACGGTCATATTCAGCAAGTACTACGCTACCACGGACAAATTGCTGGCGGATCGCAAACGGAGCTGCGTGGTAACGGTCAAGCTGAGCTATCCCAGAGGATTTATCGTGTCGGTGGGGACGGTCACAACGCGCGGGTACGTGAAGCTCGATGCGGGCGCCGTGGCGACCATTCAGACGTGGTACTACTTCTCCGGGCTGCCAGGGACGGCTCGACTCGTGCGCAAGTTCACAGGAGTGGTCGAGAAGAACTTCGAAGTCACGGACAAGTTCCTCACCCTGGTTTACAGCAGGTGCGGCGTGTCCAGGGAC